GGCCTGATGACCTATGTTGAAACAGGTCAGAATGTACAGCTTTTTGAAGCTGAGAGCTAACAGATAATGGGTGCTGCCTTGGCTGCAAATGAACAAATTAGTAACATTACAGGGTTTTAAATGAACAAATAATAGTAGTTAGGTGATGACATTAAGTGAGTATTTAGGGGAGGACTCCTTGCTGATACCAAAAGTTAGGTCTGTGCAAAATATACCAAGTGAAAAAAAGTTCAGATAAGAGTTTAGGTTTCAAGACCAATGTTCTGCTCTATTGGCAGACCACTTTTAAGTCTTTCATGCTAATTTTTAAGCCCTGCTGGGTAAGATTTGGTGTTGAGAGGGTACAATGAAGCCAGAGGATGGAAACGGAAAAGATGTGTTCTGTGGCATCTGCATTAACCAACATATTGCCAGCGCAGTAGGCCTAATACAGCTCTTCTTCCTCATGCCTCATAACCACCCTTGTGTGGCAGTTTCATATTTCTTGTTACATTATTATCTTCATTCAATTCTGTTTCTTTTTGGGTGAAGGTTGGAGGATAAGAAAAAGCCAGTTGTTGGAAGAGAAAGCACTTCAGGATAAAATGGTCTTGTTAATACCAGGAATTAACATGTTAAGGACCTGATACATAGTCAAATTTAAAGCACATATATACAAGGATACTACTTCTTGTGCAATGATTTACTTCATAGCTGATTCATGATCCACCAAATGAACAAGAATGTGCAAGAACAGAGCACAGTGGGCACGGCACAGTGGTATTGCGAGTGTTGTGCCCCTAGCGCTTCCTGAAATATTTTGAACCCTCAAATACATCCCTTTGTGTTCAACTAGCCTTAGACTCTTGTGTCTGTAGTTTCATTCTTAGAGTTCTCCCACAAAACAAAAAGCATGCCATACTGTAAATTTTCATTTTTTCACCCATTTTTTTAAGACTCATTTCTGCTCACTAGAAAATTCTTGTCTTTCAGTTATTTTTCAGACCCCTGCAGCCAGATTGTGCCCTTCCGATGTCATTCCGATGACACTTCTCGGGCAGAAATTACTATGGTCCATCTGTGGACCGGTCCATTTGGCCTCTCTCAAACCTAATGCCATCCATGTGACCTTGTTACTGTGTCTCTGATCACTTTTTCATTGACACCTTTGTCCCTTAGATGTTGATGTTTTATTTTTAGCCTCTTTGTATCTCACATTTTGTCCTGAAGTAGTCTCATCTACATGCATGGTCTTAAATATATGCTGACAATTCTCACACATGTAGCTTCACTATTGGCATCTCCCCACTAGTTTAAAAACCACTTTAATTTGCTGGACTCTAACTTGGATGGCTCATTTTCAGCTCAGACTCACAATGTCCCTTCACCTAGATGTTTTGTTGTGGTGGTTTCTCCACCTTCTAGAAACCTCCTTACCTAAATTTTATTTATAATTTAAAGCCTAGCAGAATTTATTATAATTGTGTTTCCTTGACACGTTGTAATTAACTTTGATTATGGCACCAAAACTGTTGTCTAGTTTTTGAGTTCCTTTATGTTCATCTTTGAGGACTTTATGTTCATCTTTTTATGACTAATCCTTGCCTTGATGGGTGCTCAGTAAATACTGAGTCGGAGTGAATTTATTCCTACAGTTTGCACTTGTTCTCTTGCAAGTTTTCTGGCTAAATAACTTCTATATATTCTGGAATGATTCCCTTACCCTAAGGGATTATAATCTGGCAAGATCCTGAGACATGAAGTAACTTCATATACTGTGCTATTGGATGGGACCTTCATTTACTTAAGATCATACGCCCTGTAGAAAGCAGAGTTTAGTTAGAACTAAGGTCACCTGCAACTCAGGCCAGTAATACTTTTCCCTAAACCATGCTATTGTCCAAAAGAGACACTGTAATCCTCTGAACTGGTGAAAGATTAAGCTTGAGATGAATTAATAAAAGGTAAAAACACACACAGATGGGGAGTCAATTCTCCATGCTTCTCCACACATCTTGAGAGCAGAGGCATTGGTAATTTTTGTTCCAGACTGTCTTCAAGGATGTTTGCATAATGAACAGCTTTGGAAGATAGAGACTGTTTCCCTCTGGAGCACAGGACAGCTTTACTATCCAACATAATAAAAATAGTTTCCCTCTGATTCAGGCAGGCTTACTTGTGGCCAGCTCATTGAAGATCTGAGCTGCGATGCAAATCCACTGCATGTGCAGTGGATCACTCCAAGTCACTCCCGTGGGATCTGGGGTGCAAGTTCATGTTGCCTGCTGTACTCTAAATAATTAAGTCCATTGTCTGACCCAGGAGTCTCATGTCTTCTGCTAGCATCCAGGAAATTATAGTTTGCAAGAAGAGTAAAATCTTAGACCCTTTAGAGATTTTGACACAGAGTAGATGCTGAGAAATAAAATCAGGTAAAATTTATTTAACACAGCAGTTCATAAATAATTTAGGCCATGGGTCATCTCTGCAGAGAATCCCACCATGTTCCATTCTGGTCTCTCTTGCTTTAAACCTTCCACTCTCTAAAATGATGCCCAGGAGTCAGTGGTAGTCATGGTCCTCCTCTATATATGTTTTTTTTATTCAACAAAAGCCTTTATTCATTCAAAAATTAACCACTGGGTTTATTTTGAAGACATTAAAAAAAGGGAGGGGTAAGGGTTTCCATCACAGTGCCCTTATAATTCACCTGCTGTCCCGGATGGTCCAGCAGAGAGGCATCTGGAAACAAAATGCCAAGAATGTGGAGGCCCATGGCCTCCGCAGACTCATAGGCCCTCCTGGCCTCCCACCTCCCGCCTCCCTCTGGGCCACCTGTTGGACGGGATTGGAGCCCTCAGATGCCTTGGCTCACTAGCACCAAGGGGCACCCCCATGCTTCTTTGGATTCCTTAAATGCTGAAACTGTTGGGAACAGGGTGGCTTTCCGCTTGGTGGGTGGGCAGTGAGGGCTTTCTCTGGAGAGAGGCCGCCTCTCCTGGGAGGGATTCCCAAGCATCCCGACCTCCCCTAGCTCTCCTCCCACAAGAGACAATGTCCCTGAAAGCCCGGGTGCATTGTCTAGGAAATCAGCTGTCAAACTGGAAAGCATTTCAGAGGAAGAGATGTTGTACAGAGAATGACACATATGCTTGCCTTGATGTCATTTTAAACGTTGCCTGGTTAAATAGTGGAAAATCACAATGTTCTCCTAAGTCACCACCACAAAGTGAGGAGCAGAAGCTATGAGGAAGAGGCCAGGCTGTGGCAGACTGGGCACCCAAGGCTGGCTCCCGCCTGGCCCCAGCGTGAGGCTCTGCAGAGGGACCGAGGGCCTGGCCTCTGGGCCGGAAGCCCCAAAGAGGGCAGCATAGCGTGGGGTGGGGCCTCGGGTGGAAAACACTGTAATGGGGGGGCCCCAGGGCTGTGCAGGAGGGACCTGACTTAAGGTTCCCAGGGTGCTGCCACAGGCAGAGGCCCAGCGAGAGGAGGGGACAGAAATCAGTCCCTGACTGGCAACCTTGAGCGAAAATGGCCGGTGTCCAGCACCCCTCCAGGAAGAAGAAGAGCAGCCCTTCTGGCAGCTCTGGGCTGTCCTAGGGCATGGGACACAGGTGTGCCCGAAGCATGGGCCCACAGGTCCCCAAGGACACTGCCTACTAAGGCCAAAAGCCACACTGTGGCTCCAAACCAAAAAGGCAGTATGATGGGAGGGAGCTCAATGGATGTCTAGGAATAGGACACCTCAGTTGAAGGCGTCAACACACTTAACCCTGGCAATCCTCGGTCATGAGTCACTTTGTCGTGATGCCTTCAGGACAGGAGGCACAACAGCATCATGCCCATTTGACCAGAGAGGCAAACTGAGGCTCAGGCAGAAGCCAAAGAGAAGTAATCTGATCTGGGAAAGACCCCACTCTCATTCTCTCAACCCCAAGTCACCAAGTTCATCCCTGGCCCTGGGACCCCAGGTCAGAGCATGCTGAGGAACTGCAGTGATTGGCAGTGAGTCCCAGGCCTCCTGGGCCAGTGGCTGAGCAGGAAGCTGGCCTGTAGGGTCCTCAAAGAATCCACCCTTCCAAGCTGCCTGTGAAGGCAGAACCACTACTTCCCACCCGAGCAGGATCTGAGGGGCTTACAAGTGGGGCCAGAGCACAGCCAAAGAGGCTGCCAATGGCAGAGGAGAGACTACTGGAGCTGGCTCAGTGCTCCGGCCAGAGGGAATGGGCATGGCAAAGCCACTTGGCAGAGGGCTTCCTCTGCCTGGAGGCCGCCTTGCTGAGGGCTAATCAGCAGGAGGGGTTCTGGCCTCCTGGAAGTGCGAAGTGGAGACCAAGGACAACTCAGAGTGGGAACAGAAGGCCGAGTTGCCCCTCGCGGGGATGGGATGATAGGATGTTGACTTTGCAAAGCAGCAAAAATTCTAGCCTCAGGCTTGGCCCAAAACAGTTGGGAGGCTGCTTCTCACCCCAGAATCCTTCCCTTTCGTGAGGACTAGTTCTAGGCCAAAAAGGGAGCTCAAGGGTCCAAGTGGGACCACAAAATGCTGCCGCCTATATTTGTTCTACGTAAACCCTCCCATGGCCTTCTAGGACAACACTTGCAAAGAGTCATGTTATCTGTAAACGCTAGCGAAAAACTGGAGAAATTTCAACCCTGTGTCCCTGAGCTCCCAAGGGCAGCAATCATGTTGGCCCTTAGCCTACCCTCACCTTTAACTTCCTTCCCTCCTTGGTTGGGGCCAGGCACCACAGGTATGCCTGCCCCAGTGGTCAGCAGGCCTTCTACCATGAAGACTATTTAGAAGGGTCCCTAAGAGTACTAGCTCTCAACTCCCAGTATAATATGTGCACTACCACCTTAAAATAAACCAGACTAGTTAGCATCATGCTGCCTAATTCTAAGAGTTTCAAAATATTTGAAAATGGTATCTTCCTTTTGATGCCTCTTCTAGTGTATTGACAGAGGGATCTCAACTTTTACCTTATACCCGAAGGGCAGCCTTTGGACCTGGTGGTAATACTATGATCATATATATTTTTAAATCACAAATACCCCCAGCTCTTGACTAAAACTCCAGTCTGTGGCCTAGGTGTGCATTCACTACCTAAACCACCTTTGGCCAAAATTTATGCATAATGAAGTCATTCTACTTTGGGATACTCCAAAGAATTCCTTTAAACTATCTATCTCCTTGTATACAATAGCTAAAGGAGTATGTATTAGTTTCCTATGGCTGCTGTAACAAACTACCACAAATTTAATGGCTTAAAACAACAGAAAGTTATCCTGTTACACTTCTGGAGTCTGAATTCACTCACTGGGTCAAAATCAAGATATGGGGAGGTCTGCGCTCTGCCCCAGGATAGAATCTGTTTCTTGCCTTTTTCAGCTTCTGATGGCAGCCAGCATTCCTTGGCTTGTGGCCACATCACTCCAATCTCTGTCTCTGTGGTCACATTGCCTTCTCTTCTGTCTGAAACCTTCCTCTTATTTGGACACTTGAAATTGCCTTTTGGGGTCACCCAGATAATCTAGGATAACCCCCACCCTTAAAATCCTTAACTTAATCATATCCGCAAAACCCATTTTTGCCAACTAAGGTAACATTCACAGGTTCCAGGAATAAGAATGGGGATATCTTTTGGGGGACCACTATTCATCCTATCTGTGTTAAAGTTTGCAAATGATCAAATTAAAATTCTGTCACTTTGTTCACAAATTAATTTAACAAAGGATTGGGGATAGGATTAATTATTACCCATCTCTCTGCAACCACTCCAAAGTTATTTCCTTATAAATACAAAAACCATACAACCCAATTTACCCAGAACAATCTTAGGTAATTATTACTTTTATACTCAAAAGTTTCCTGGATTGGTTAAATTATGTAGTCCTTCTGTTTATAAACAGTCTTAAGATGAAAACTAGTTAATTTCTACAGATAAAAAGCACTAAACTCCCGATTTGAGTTCTCAGAGGGCAGAAAGTTGTGTTGTTTTAAAACCAAAGTTTCTTACTACCATTTTGGGATGTATTCCCTATTTATACCACAATTATCAAGATTGGTAGAGATTATTTCAGGCATGCTTTCTGAAAGACACCATGTGGTTGAGAACTATGATCAAACTCACTGGTAAAACCAGTTTGAAGATAAACTTCGCCACAGGGCCCAGGTCTGACTGGCAACCTTCCAGGCCACCCTGTAAGTCTGGATAAGGTACAGGTAAGGAATGAAGTCTGCTGGTTCTACTATCTCTCTGTGGAGCCTTATCTCACAGTGGGGGGCTCGCAGGAAACACCACCATTCACACCAAGAAACTTATTTTGCTTCATATACTAACATGTCCAGTATGTAACTATTTTCAAAGTTAGTTTGAGCCCACAAGAGAATGACTGTGAATTTACCCAATACCGTAATAAATGAATAAACTACCTATCTTTCGATTTTCTATTTAAAGAATAGATAGAAAAGCTTGAATGTAATATTTATTTGGTGAATTTACATGTGAGGTCATTTACAAAAGAAAAGATACAGACAGATGCAGCTTCCAGTGCAGTTTCAAATATTTTCACAACAGGCAAGAGTCCGAGAGAATTTGGAATGATAGTACTGAATGGTACATGCGTCAGTTTCCTTTGTGTTTTTCTATGCGACCCCGACGGGAAAGAAGGGAGAAGAGTAGAAGTCAATATTAATGTGAATATAGCCATGCAAATAAAAACTTTTTTTTTTAAGTTCAGAGGACATTCAGAGATGTAGAACATTTCTGTATGCAGGGGTTATCATAATAGATGCAAATTTAAGAACAAAATGCAGAGTTCTCAAACTTTCCATTATCCGAATTATCTTAAATTATGTTAACTGCTGCCACTAATTAGGTTAGAGGCCTCCTCTATATTTTCCAAATACTGACTTTGGAATGGAGTCCTTTCTAATAGATTCTAAAAGATAGCATTTGTAGACAAAATCTTTTTGGTTTCAACAGGATAAAGCACCCTTTTAAAGAGGGATAAAAATGCTCCTTTACTCTCAACAATGTAAACTATAATTAGATTTCCAGAAAAGTATAACTGAAAGCTTGCTCTTTTATTAAGTCTTAAACTGCTCCCCATCTCGAGTACCTCAAAATAAGACACCCCTTAAAAACACAACCCTACCCCCACCAGAAAAATCCAGCATGTAAGCACAATGATGGTTTATAAAAGTGACAATTGGAAATAAATCTCAAAGTTATTTCTAAGTAAAGAGGTGGAATAAAGATAAAACCAACAAAACAAAAATCTGTTGTCACTATCCCTAGTGAAGACCTGGACATAGGCAATCAGTCCCCAGAGATCAAGGTTAGCTCAGTACTAAAAAGCACTCTACACGTCCTCAGCATCTTGCAAAGTACTGGCTCAAAATTCCTTAAGCACATGTAGCCGTAGCCGAAGCACTGAACTTGTCACATCAGGAAATACTATGCTCTGGCTCCAAGACCTACATCCATTTTGAACATTTAGCCACATCTTCTTCATTAGAAATTTTAAACTAATTAAATACTCCCATATATCACACATCTTTATTTGGGTTATACAGCAACCTGCACTTTCTTTAAAAAGTACACTATTAAATAGTTGTACTTATTACAGTCATGGAAATTATGAACACACTTCTGTTTCACCTTACCTCTTTGCTGGGTCCACTCCCCATCAATACTCAGTCTTCCAGCACATATATTAATCCAAATATTTTACTTCTGCGTAATTTACCGTATGAAAACCAGCTGCTGTAGACTTCAAGAATGATGTACATCATCCATTAGAATGGAAGGGGGTCAAGACGATTAACAGTCGCCACTAAGTTTCCAAAGTTCTGCAGAATCAGAGGCATTGTGCATGCTGACAATGGTTTAAAGGGTCACTCAATTTTACTTCAATCCCCATTTAAGCTTTGTTTTCTTCAAAAAATCAACTAAAACGGATTGAATATAAAAGACATCTATTTTACAGCACTTACTGTGTCAATTTAAAAACCAACATGCTGTAAAATACTCATATTATACACACATATATTAAGACAAAATCATCCAGAACATAACCCCCTGCCCCCCCATAAAAAAAAAACCAATCAACAAATCAAAGTTTTTATTTGCATGGCCAATTATCATTTGTACTCTTTGCGACTTTATTTTAATATCCTTTTAACAGGTTCTAAGCTTTTGTTGCACAGGGAATAAAAGCTGCAAGACGCAAACTTCCTTCAACAGCCACACCCACAACACCTAAACATGAAATGGATGTAACGAATGACAACACCACAAACGGAAATACTAAGTTCCACCATTCAACACAGTTTATGAGAGTGTCTTTAGGGTTCAGTTGAAGAGGGGGTAAACTTCTTTTAAAAATAGGGTCAGTCTCCTTTCCTCCTGTTTTATAATGTTGGTGGTTTTAATCCATATTTCTTTGCAACTTCTGTCTGGGCGTGGGCAGCATCGCAAAGTGAATACAGATGGGCCATCTCCATTTCTGATTTGGCCAGGTTAATAGCTTTGTTGAACATGTCAATGGCTTTCTCCATGTTTCCTCTAAAAGAACAAATTTTTAAAAGTCTCAGATTTAATAAGCACTTCATAATATCCAATGAAGTTTGTAAGTGATGCTACCTACATAAAGTCTGGCCACTAAGTTTCAACAATTATCCTAGTAAAATGCATCTTTTATAATGAACAAAAGAGGGCTTAGCACATTGAAAGTACTCAGTGAATGTTTGCTACTATTACAAATACTATGTGCTTACACTGTGCCTCTTGTATTCTTTTTTTATAGATAAGGACAATGAGACTAAGAAAATTAATTGGCTTACTTAAAATTGTAATTCTGATTCCTAAAATTCTGCATGTTTCTGCTGTAACTTAAAGCTTCTTTAGAAAGCAGTGACACAACCTCAGAGAACACTAATGGTGTTCAAGGGCCTCACTTCACTGATTTGTGTGATCCCACTTTCTTTCCACCCCATCCAGGCACCTCTACTTATCACAAGGTCCGTCTGAGTTCCTTGACTGTGCCACACACTCAAATCTGTATATAATACTCAGATTATTTGTTTACTCTGCCTAATTCTGGTCAAATCTTCACGTTTCTATGGCCCAGTTTAAATAAAATATCCTCATGAAAAATATTTTTCCCTTCTCTCTACAGGGGAATTAGCTGTTCTATCTCCAGTATTCCCACAGTTCTACTGACATTCTATGCCTAGTCAGATGAATACATATTTGTTTACACCACATTCTTACTAGCTCCACGATGGACATTGTTCAATTCCCAAAACCTAGTACAACGGCTGGTAATTACTATCTGCTATTTTAAGTAAATAGATGAATATGCTTTGTCAGCAAGATATCATTTACCTCTTATGGTCTAAGTGTGGCTAAGCTTTATATACTTACCAAGAACCATTTTACATAACTAGTATTAGCTATGTATATATGCATATATGTATGTAATCCTATGATAAATATTAAGTCCTTAATATATTTGTGCCAGTTAGACACTGAGAAGTAAGTTGCCTCCAGAGTAATTATATTTAACCTCCCACTACAATATATGGCTATGTGATCGACTTAAAAAAAACTTTTTTTTAAGCGTTCATGTTCAAATATTAGGTCAACAGCTGGCAGATCTGCTAAATCTTAGAATAATCTGCAATTTCATTCATTCATTCCCGTTCATTTATTTAATTGTAAGGTAAGATTTAGAGTGGTTTTGTTAAAGTGTAATTAATACACAAACAGAATTGTATCAAACCCCTAAATCTAGGGTCCTTAACCCAGGATCTATGGATGCCTTACATTAAAAGTGAAGTGTTTTTTTATGTGCATTGTTCTAAGAAGAATCCACAGCTTTGCTCAGAAAAGATTAATAACTACTATATCCTAGTATGAGAATATCCTATCACATTAACACATCAATTAATAAATAATTTAATATTTACATGCAACTGTCAATACAGAATGGTTCAAAAGAGCCACAACATTTTTATCAGCCTTTATATATTCCGTCTACTCTAGAGCAGGGAGAGGGCTACAGGAGGGGCTGAATGACAGGGAATTAAGAAAACTCACGCTGGCTCCTGATAAGAGATAGTGGCAAGATCAGTGACTTTGGCATCAGTGAAATATGGGCTCACATCCTGTTTTCTCTACTGGATCACTGTGCAACCTTGTTAAACTAATCAGTCTGGGTATTAATTAAACTGGGAATCATATAATCTCCACCTTTATAAAGATGGGGGTAAAGATCAATTGAAATAGAATGTGGAAAACACCTGAAGTTCAGTTTGGTACCTGGTCTAGAGTAGGTACTCAAATGGACAGCAATGCCAACATTAAGATGGTATATATTATGATAATTCCCATGCATAAACAGTTGTCACCTGTTAATGGTGGATCTTAAGTGCAACTCTGGATAAACATTTACACAAAACAAGAAATTATGGAAAGTAAGAGTTGCAAAAAATCTTCTTATCCAGTCCTAATTTTAAAGAAAACTCAGGTGCTCAGAGATGATGTTGCAACTTGCCCAGTCATTTGGGTGGTTACTTGTAGCAGGATCCAGGTCTTCTGGCAACTTGGCTACCAATCCTTATGTCACTGCCTAAGCACATTACAGGTATTTTTTTTCCCTCTAACAGGAATAATAAAGGTGAAAAGAGGAGAGAACATGTAACAGATATTAGAGAAAGACCTAGTTTCCCTTTCTAATGCATATACTTGACTTAAGCAGCTTTTATAAGTATAACTTTTAATTTGGAAAAATAATGAAACAAAGCCAAAGTTGTATATTTTTGAGGGAAGCTTGTGTCAAAATGCCTAACAGATTTTAAAAATATAATATTAAGCTGGGCGTGGTGGTTCACGCCTGTAACTGTAGCACTCTGGGAGGCCTAGATAGGAGGATTGCTTAAGCTCAAGAGTTCGAGACCAGCCTGAGCAAGAGTGAGACCCCATCTCTACTAAAAATAGAAAAAATTAGCCAGGCATGGTGGCACATGCCTGTAGTCCTAGCTACTTGGGAGGCTGAGCCAGGAGGATCGCTTGAGCTCAGGAGTTTGAGGTTACTGTGAGCTACGATGACGCCACGGCACTCTAGCCTGGGCAACAGAGCAAGACTCTGACTCAAAAAAAAAAAAAAAAAATAGATAGCGACAATAACATGTATATGATGAGAAGAAGGAAAAGATAAATATCTATGGCGCTGCCATAAATTCCCTAAGAACAGACTCTAGAAGTTACCTTTGTACTTCAATAGTTCCCATGGTTTCATATGCAAAATCACATTTATTGTCAATTTCAATAGCCTTGCTGATAAGTTCCAAACCTCTATCCAGATCTTGCTTCCACTGAAGTTGAAGTAAACTGCAAATGCAAAATGGCAATGAGATGTGACCATGGCCCAGTTATCAACAGGACTCAATTTCTGCCCTCAGTGAGTTAGTAATTTAATTTTTGAGGAAAAACAAAAACTAAAGCAGTATATAATCAGCATCAAATTGTGTTTTTTTTTCCCTTCAACTTATATTGGTTTTGTAGTCTCTGTATTTTTTATTTTATATAAATTTAAGTGAAATTTCTTATGATAGTTCAAATACATAAGGACAGGAAAATCTTCTGTATGTTTCCTATTTTGATATAAGTAACATCTCACAGGATGTTCAGAACTGAAATTAAAACATTTAACTTAGAGTGAAAATAGTACATTTACTAATTTCTATACAAGAATGAAACAGCATCCATAAGCATTAAGAAATTTTGTCAATTAATTTCTCTACCACAGTCCCCTTCCTCAATGGTTAAAAGAAATCTATTTCATTAGCATACAAGAAACTTAGTATCTTATTGGAACAAACAGAATCACAAAAATACATACCCTTTATGAACATATGTTGTGGCATTATCTGGTTCCAAATCAATACATTTATCATACATTTCATCAGCTTTACCAAACTGTTGTTGATCTGTTAATGCCTATGTGAAGAGATACTTCAGTTATATTAAAGTAACTGTCAACCTAAGCAGTTAAAAGTATATTGCTTATTAATTATTAAAATTCACTTCATTTATTCATTCATTACTATATTATGTTTTGGGGACACAAACAAATTTAAATATTATAACTTAATTACTGGAGTTTTTAGTTGGCATTGTTATAAATATGCAATCCTGTCTTTTCTTTATGCAAATGGTTAGTTATACACAATGGCAGATAATCTGGTAAACTATACAATACAGAAAATCCTATTGTTAGTGACAGTTCCAGTATCACATTCCCACAGGTATACTCATCTCATTCAGTAATTTATCATAATATATCCTAAGGGAATTACTTTAAAAGGCAATACTCATTGGAAGGATAAGTTAAAGTATATGTGTTAACTGTTATCAGAGTCATTCCTTTAAAATGATTAATTAGGAAAAAAGCATCCACAATCAACTATTTTAAGGCAAATCCCATGGCTGAAATGGAAGGCATGGTTGTGTGGATACCAGATCATGCTCAAGTTGTAACTCTGAGCGTTGGCCAGTATCTAAGCCCATGCTGAGAGAGTTAAAAGAAAAAAGTTACACTATATAACTCTCTCTATACAGGTACTCTATGCATACATAAAATTACATTATATATACTATATAGTGAAGGAAAAATTAGAAGAGGGACCAAAGAACAGAAATTTTAGTACAAACAGACTATAATAATGCTAGTGCTGCTGAGAAGAGAGCTCATATAAACCAAACCTATCCTGAGGGCAGAACAGTAATAGGGAAATGTGCAATTAAGAAAGCAGAAGAGTTGTTCCTAGTTTTGTTTTTTTAAATGCTGTTCAGTGGCCTTTGCTCTCTTAGCTGCTTATAAAAATCTGCACCAAAAAAGCCCTCATCATTCCATGACAATGATGAGCATGGTGCTGTCACTTTTTGGTTTGTTACTAATTTAGTATAAGCCATAAACCCAAGTGTACTTATTCAATACAAAGGTCATATGATTAAAATGTGCATTTATTCTAGCTTTTATACATTCTATAAAACCTTATATAATACATGTTTTTATAATTAATTAAAGTATATGGTCAGCAACCAATGTCTCATTTTTTATTATCACTATCCTGTCTATGAATTATAAAAGACTGAATAGATAAGATTATTTCAAACTGAGGTTAAAGAACTTCTGGGTTACGTTTCATACCCCAGAATTTCAATCGCTAATAATGCAGTGATGTACAAGACCTACCTTTAAAGAATAGATCCAACACAAATCACTGTTCTCATAGTTCCTCCCTCAATAAACCCTCAAAGTCCCTGTGAAATTTTTCTTATAACCTTACAAAAGATAGCATGAAGGAAAATAAAAACAAAATAAGAAACCTGAAGACTGGTTTAGGGAGAGGAGTTTACCAGTGATGGTAATTTTTAGATGACTCCTATTTCTGTGATGTTTCTGGGAGAAAAAACCCAACATTTCTTTTGTAATAAAAAGAATAAGACAGAAAAAAAAATATTATCTAGACAGCTAGTTTATGTAGATACCAACTCTCAGCTTAAAGATTAAGAGAACACTCATTTGGAGATCATTTATGTGAAAGGAAGAAGTATACCTATGGCTAGAAGTAGTTAATCACTTTCATGTAAATGGATGATTTAAAATTAATAAGTTTTCAAGAATTCAGACTACAATCAAAAAGTTAAAACAATTCAAATTTAAATCCTACTTTCTACAGCTTCATTCCTAAACCAAGAAAACTTCAAGAATTTTAGACACAGCAAAGGGAAATTAAAATAAGCTGTTATACCCTATTTAACCATTTAAAAGGGCAGTGATCAAATAGAAAGAAAACCCTTTCCATGGACATTTTCCCCACCAACTGCATATAGTAAACTTTCCTAGGGTAATTACTTTTTGTAAAACCAATCCAAATGAAAACATAAGAGAAATGCTCGCCTTAAGCTTCCCCACATTGTGAGTTTAAGGCCAAGATTTCCAAATTGCTTAACAAAAGAGCCTCTGCTGAGGTGATTCAGGACCATCATAGGGGCCATGAGAATCAAAGCAGGAACAAAGCCACCTGCTCCCACAGAAGCTGCAACCAGGATAGCACTGTTTTCTGATTTCCATACTGAGATTCAGTATACGAATGCAGTTCTTTAAAAAAAAATTGAAAAATCACATTTACCTGGGCATATAGTGCATAGCCTTCAGCACACTTTGGAAACTTCTTTATGACCTCTTCGAAACCTTTCATAGCCGCCTGGATTTGTGAAGAATTGTTTCCTGTATATGCCTGGCGATACTATTTAAAAAATCAAAATGGGCCTATCAAATCAAGAACTCAAAAACTAATGGAATGTTAACATACTATTAAAAACACACATAAAATTACATAAATATTTCCAGAAAAGCAGGGTATTTGCTAACATAATTTGCTGCATCCAAAAGAGTTCCAAGGAAGTATCTCAGCAGCAGAGATCCAAAGGCTATGTATAGCTAGCACTTCATGGCCACTATACAATTTCAAGATGTTCAGTACTCTAGAAGAGGGCATACTACCTTGTAGGAAGTTAACTTTGCATATGAATGGGAAATTTTAAAGCTAATAAAATTTTTGTCATTTTTTCACCTATAATATAAATATGATTATGTTTGTGATCCAATTTCTTTCTTTAAAAGGAAAATCCTTTTAGGACTCCAGCTATAGGGCTAACTGGAAGTACCTCACTTTACTAGAAATGGACTTCTTTTTAAAATTCTCTGAGCTTTGCATTTCTGAATATTAAGAAAGAGCTCTACAGAGGAGAGATAAGAGCAGTTACATGGTGTCTTGACTGCAGAAAATTTCTTCAAAATGCTTTTGTTCTTTGTATGGGTTTATGGTAGAGAAACAAGGAGACCAGCTCTGTTTAGGAGAACATAAAATCAGGGACAAACATCTATCAAGATTAAGTCAAACAAACATACAGAGAAAAATCGGAGCTATACATATCAATCAGCATATATGCTTACTAATGTTTTTTCCCTCTAGTCATCCTTTGCGGGGAAAAAAATAAATGATTTTGTAGACAATGAGATACTCATCTTTGTTGACAATGGGAAATAAAAGTGATGTTTAGGAAAATACAAAAGAAAGCAGTAGTACCTACCAATGCGAAACATTTCTGAGCTTGTGCCAGAGCAGACTCAGGTCTTAACCTAATACATTCATCAAAATCTGCCACTGCTTCTTCAACTTGATCAAGCAGTATTTTCAGCTAAGAAAAAAGTACATAAATAAGTGCAATTCAAAACAATAGGTGTACCAGTTGAGTGTGTATGTGTCTCTATTATCACATAGCATAATGTTCAGCATGTAGTATTCAATATAGACTTTGTACAAACACTGAACTTTGTACAGTGAACTAAAAAATCTTGTAATTTTAAAGATTCTAAAACTTAAAACTAGTGTCTAATTTTTTTTAAAAAGGACTATAAGCCCACCATTTCTGCACTGCAATTTTGATCACTATTAAGCAAGAAATCCCTTCTAGAAAACTAAACATCTCTGTACTTTCTAATTTCAAAGCAGGTTAGACATCAGATAATTGCCTTTCAAATTAATCTTAAGACATTGCCAATAAGGATCAAAATGTTAAGAATTTTAAGAGTTGGCCAGGTGCGGTGGCTCACGCCTGTAATCCTAGCACTCTGGGAGGCTGAGGCGGGTGGATTGCTCAAGGTCAGGAGTTCGGGAGACCAGCCTGAGCAAGAGCGAGACCCTGTCTCTACTAAAAAAATAGAAAGAAATGATCTGGACAACTAAAAATATATATATAAAAATTAGCCAGGCATGGTGGCGCATGCCTGTAGTCCCAGCTACTCAGGAGGCTGAGGCAGAAGGATCGCTTGAGCCCAGGAGTTTGAGGTTGCTGTGAGCTAGGCTGACGCCACGGCACTCAATCTAGCCAGGGCAAAAGAGTGAGACTCTGTCTCAAAAAAAAAACCAATTAATGTTGGACTGCATATATGATGCTGGTCCCATAAGATTAAAATAACATATGCTTAACATGCCTTTCCTATGTTTAGATATGTTCAGATACACAAATACTTACCATTGTGTTACGAATGCCTACAGTATGCAGTCCAGTAACATGCTATATAGGTTTGTAGCCTAGGAGCAACAGGCTATACCATATAGCCTAGGTGTGTAGTAGGCTATATCATCTAGGATTGTGTAAGTACAGTCTATGATGTTTGCACAATGAAATCACCTAACAATGCATTTCTCAGGGTGTGTGACCATATTAGGTAAAATTCTCCATTAGAAAGAACTTAGCTTTTCTGTTACTATAATGGATAGCCCATACTTTCCACCGTAATACATTCCAAGAAGTTATGTTAAGCAGATTATAAAGCCATGTTTTCCCCACATGAGGCTATAATAGGGAACTGTGTTCTTCACTATATATTTTACTAAAAATTAATATGCCTGTTATAAAACTCCAAGAGATTTTTTGGTACTATTTGGGCAGTCCAGACTATTTCCTTACAGCAAGAAGGCCACAAAAATCATCTTGTTGATTCTAGCATTAACTCAAAATGCTTACTAAATGTTATTAATGTTTTACTCACTGAAAACCTACGAACCAAAAACACACGAAAAACAAACTTGAACTGGCAAGCCAACATTGTTTGCCTTCCTTTTTTTTTTTTCCATAAGTAAATACCAAAACTATAAAGACAAATGTTCAAGACAGAACTAAATAAAGGCCAATCCAAACTGTAAACCAATGATACTTTCTTCACAGCTAAAAGAAAAACTTTTAGGGTATTCTCAAAAATGGTATTAAATAACTCAATCCAAAGGTCAGAACTCCAATAAGAAAACAGATTTACCTGCCCTCGGTGGTGATAAACATCTGCATTCTGAGGATCAATGTCAGCAGCCATGTTAAAATCCTGAGTAGACAGCAGAGGCTGCTGCTGCTGCATGTACATGCTGCCTCTTTTGATGAGAGCATTTGCTCGAAGCTATAGACCCCAAATGAGAAAAGTTTCATTACTACATTTTTTTTCCAATTCGGTTTTTAAAAATAACAGCTTTTTGATATAATCCACATACCACAAAGATCACTCTTTTCAAGTATGCACGTCAGCAATTTTTAGTATATTCACTAAGCTGTGCATTGATCACCACTATCTAATTCCAGAATAGTTTCATAACCCCAAAAAGAAACCCCCTACATGCAGTCATTCTCCATTCCCACCTCCTCCTCTTCCTCCTCCCCTCTCTAGCCCCTAGAAACCACCAATCTGCTTTCTATTTCTATGGATTTATATATTCTAGATGTTTCACATAAATGGAATCATACATTATATGACCTTTTGTGTCTGGCTTCTTTCACTTAGCATAATGTTTTCAAGGTTCATCCACATCATAGTATATATTAGTACATCATTCTTTTTCATGGCTGAGTAATATTTCATTGCATATGTATCACTTTTAGTTATCCATTCATCAGCTGATGACATTTGGGTTGCTTCTGCTTTTTGGCTATCATAAATAATGCTACTATGAACATTCATATACAAGTTTATGTGTTAACATATATACTCAGTTCTCTTGGGTATATATGTAGGAGCAGAACTGCTGGATCATATGGTAACTCTACGCTCAGCTTTTTGAGGAACTACCAAACAAATTTCTAAAGGGGCTTAACCACTCTACATTGTACGATGTATGAGGGTTTCAATTTCTCCACATCCTCAAAAACACCTGTTATTGTCCGTGTGTTTGATTACACTATGGTTTTGATTTGCCTTTCTCTAACGACTAATGATACTGAGCATCTTTTCATGCTATTATTGGTCATTTGTATATATTCTTTGAAGAAATGTCTATTTGGATCCTTCGCCCATTTTTAACTTAGGTTGTCTTTTTATTGTTGAGTTCTAAGAGTTCTTTATTCTAGATACAATCCCCTTATTAACTAAATGATTTGTGAATATGTTTCCCCACTTTGTGGTGTGTGTTTTCTCTCTTCTTTTTTTCCAAGATAAGGTCTCGCTCTGTTGCCCAGGCTGGAGTGCGGTGGTGCAATCAGAGCTCACAGCAGCTTCTATTCCTGGTCTCAAGCCATCCTCCCAGCTCAGCCTCCTGAGTAGCTGGGACTACAGGCACATGCCACCATGTCTGGCTGATTTTTTTCTTTTGATTTTTTTTTTTTTGTAAAGACAGGATCTTTTTATGTTGCCAGGCTGTGTTTTCTTTCTTTAGGGTGTTATTTCAAGAACAAAAGGTTTTAATTTTGATGAAGTCTAATT